TCAGCAAACGTAGAAAGTGCTCTGTGTTCCTCTTCTTCTTCAGCATCTCTCTTATTATCAAGCATCCTATCAAAATGTACAAAGAACCTAGGAATACTAAATTCTGACTGCAAGTAATGACGAAGATTACTGTTGCAACACTCGCTTAACTGAGTGCTCTTCATACCAGCACCAAAATGAGAATTCACCCAAGCTGATGACCACTTCTCCCTCACCTTGTAAATACCTTGTAACCAACTGTGTCCAAGAGGTCCTTTCCCAGGGAAACACTTATCTATCATTCTTTTCCAATTATACTCAAAATCATCCTCATCATCAACATTGTACATCAAATAGCTAAGCTCACAAAGGAAAGCCGAATCACACAAAGATCCCAGATTAACAACTGCATTCTGTGAGATATGCCATGAACACAATCCATGGAAAGAACTTGGGAAAACAGACCTTATTCCAGCAGCAATCGTAGCAGCCTGATCAGTAAAAATAGACGACGGGCTCACACCTCCCATGCATTCCAAAAACTGATTAAACAACCACTCAAACGTTGCCGTTGTTTCATCATATAGAAGGGCAGCTCCAAACACAGTGAGTTGATGATGGTTGTTGAAACCAACAAACACAGCTGCACATACCATGTGGTACACAGTGTTAAAAAAATGAATACCACAAAATACCACCATAGTATTAACAGATAACAACATAATGAATACCACAAAATACCACCATAGTATTAACAGATAACAACATAATGAATACCACAAAATACCACCATAGTATTAACAGATAACAACATAATACCAAATCAAAATAACTATAATACAGAATAATCACAAAAATAACAACACATACCTAGTGGTCGATACTCTTTATTCGTTCTGTATGTAGTATCAAAACTAACTGAATCCCCGAAAAAATGATAATCCATCCGCATCTTCCCATCTGCCCAAAAAATACTAGCAATATTCTCGTCCACATCAACCTCTACCTCATGAAAAAAACCAGGATCCAGCTTAGCTTGCCGTCTAAAGTATTTTAGCAATGCAGTTGCATCACCATGCTCCATTGATGACGTCCTCACTGTCCGCAGGTGGTTCTTCAAATCATTTCTTGTGAAACCAATACACTTCCGACCACCACCAGCTCTACTAATTGCATTATACGAAGCAGTCGCACCTATACCAGCAGCATCATTCACATCTGCCAACATTTTATACACAGGAGCCATTTTTCTATTCGATCTCATGTAGTGACGCATAGCCTCAGGAATCATGTCATGGTTATGCACATCATACCACTTATAAATCTTGTAACACTTGAACTGCTTAAACCACCTAATTCGAATATAGGCACCATCACACCCACCCCTGATTTCTGGAACATGACGAACACGAGCCTTCACATCAATAGAACCATGATTAGCAGGATTATTCTCACTACCAATCCTCCAGCCTTCCTTATTGCAACAATACTTGATATAATAAACCGCCTTTGAACCATTATTAAGCTTCGGACATGCCGACTGATGGTAAATCCTCACACAAAAACCTTTATAGTTCCCATAATCCACATAAAATCTATATGCATCATCAGTTGTAGCGAACTCAAGATTGTTCCAGGAACTTCGAACATTAGGATCAATAGCATCAAAACCTAAAACATAAAAAGAATGAAACATTAATTATGTACAAAATATAATACCACCATAGTATAATATGGTAAAGTTTATTACATTCAAAAACTCTACAAATACCAGTATAGTTTCTTATGGTATAACATGGTATTGTATAGTATAACATATATACAGAAACATAAAATCACAACAACTATAAAAACAATCTACAACAAATAAAACACAACACTAATATGCAAAAATACCATAAAATACCAGTATGGTACTATATGGTATAACATGGTATAACATAGTATTTTATGGTATAACATATATACAGAAACATAAAATCACAACAAATAAAACACAACACTAATATGCAAAAAATACTATAAAATACCAGTATGGTATTGCATGGTATAACATGGTACTATATGGTATAACATACATACAAACTTCAACTTACCAAACACATTTAAAATTCTTACCTTCCGATTCAACAGCACTATTAGAAGAACTAGATCCAGTATTAGATTCATTCAAAGAAACAATGACGCCTTGATTGAGATCACTCATTGCACTAAAAAAGCTCAGTTCAACAGAGAAGATTCAAAAAATTCCTGCACAAAAAATAAATTCAACTACGGATCAATCAACTGAACAAACTTATACAAACAAATCACAAAGAACAGAAAAACAGAGAGCACAAAAAGAGAAAACGCAGATAAATCATATATACACAAAATCCTACTATCACTACAAATTACCTCGACGAAGACCAAACAGCAGCCAGCAGAAACTTCAACACAAGCAAAATCGAGCGAAAACCTCGAGCAAAACCGCCGACGATCGCGTCCTCCATCGACCTTCTAACAACTATAACTCGCAAAACCGCCGCCGATCGCGTCCTCCACCGACCTTCTAACAACTATAACTCGCAAAACCGCCGCCGATCGCGTCCTCCACCGACCTTCTAACAACTATAACTCGCAAAACCGCCGCCGATTAAGCTAAGAATCGCGTCCTCCACCAACCTTCTCGCCATCGAGTAATCCTTCGGAGAAAAACTCTCGATTGCTCTGTTTATTTCTCATTCTCTCTCATGAATCCAATTCCAGCTCGGCCGAGGATAAACCAAAAAGGAATAAAGAGGGAAGGACATAAATTCAAATAATGGACAAAAATACCCCTGCCCCACCCCGCTCCGACCCCAGCCGTTAGATCTCCCCTCTCCAGATGGACGGCTCCTGTTGGGTTACTGACGGGTGCATAACCATGGGTTATGCACCCTATCTTGGACCGTGGTTAGGGATGGCAACGGGTGGGTCGGGTTTTGCCAAATCCAAATTCATGGGTTTATTTGTCAAAAAAATTTGGGTAAAATTCATTGAGTTTGGAAACCTCAAACCCAACCTAACCCGTTGGATATCTGTGAGTTCATGGGTATCTATTGAGTTTTGTGGTAAAAAATTTAAAATAACAAGTTCCTATCAAAATATAAATCAAACATCAATTTCTCTATACAAATTATCCATATATAAAACACCATTCTAGAAAATTCAAACATATAGCAATTACACTAAATAAATTCACACGGAATAAGTGTAATGACTAATGAGAGTTAGATTGGAGGAAATTAGAATTAGGGTAGGGTTTGAGGAGAGTAAGGAGACGAAATAAGTGTGGGCGGGTATCCATGGGTCAGGTACCCCTAAACCCAAACCCACCCTAACTCGGTGAATAGTGTACGAGTTTAAACCCAAACCCGACCTGAAACTCGTAAATGCGGGTTTTACCCGCGTTGACCGGGTTGGGTCAGGTAGGGTACACGTGGGTTCGGGTTTTGTTGCCATCTCTAGTTGTGGTACAATCAGATCTAGTTTATGCATCGACTTATGTTGAAATATCGCATGAATCGTGGGTATGTATAATCTTATTTTAAGAGGATGACGTATTCAGTGCACCCATATTTTTTCATGTATTCAATGCAATTGCCTTGTAATCATCATTCCGAGCATGCGATTGTTGTCAAAACAATCAATTGTCGCTTATGATATTATGAACAAGAAACACATGAATTTGCAAAAAACACATTGAAGAATTACTTTAATTTGAAAGATTTAGGATTTAGGAATTTAGGGTTTAGGTTTACAATTTATGATTTATGATTGGGATTCAAAATTGAAGGTTAAGGGGTTAGGGTAATAGATTGATTAGTTGTGATTCTATATTATATCATCATATTAGACTAATACGATTAGTTCAAAATTCGATGCATTATGGCTACTTTTAGAGTTAACGCACCCCAAAAAAGTGAGTGCACCGAAGTTGCTACCATTTTAAGATAATGTATATATCAATGATTGAAATACCGTACTAGAGATTGTATCGAAAAATTCAGTAGTAGAGTATTTTGTGCTAACACTTTGGTTAAACCGTGGTTGAATTGCTACATATCGCCTACCGATTTAGCCTCCAATAAAATATCTTTCTGATCGAACGTCGGTACGGTATTTCAGTCTAAGATATATATAATATATTTAGATAAAATGAAGGTTAAGGGGTTAGGGTAATAGATTGATTAGTTGTGATTCTGTGATATATCATATTAGACTAATTCTACTAATTAAAGTTCAAAATTCGATGCATTATGGCTACTTTTAGAGTTGATGCACCAAAAAAAAGTGAGTGTACCGAAGTTGCTACCATTTTAAGAGAATGTACATACCAATGATTGAAATACCGTACGGGAGATTGTATCGAAAAAGTCAGTAGTAGAGTATTTTGTGCTAAAACTTTTGTTAAATCGTGGTTCAACTGCTTCATACCGCCTATCGATTTAGCCTCCAATAAAAGATCTTTCTGATCGAACGTCGGTACGGTATTTCAACCTCAAATATATATATAATATATTTAGATAAAATACATTACAAACAAAATAACAAATTATCATATTAACATTCATACGGTCATACATTTATAATTGAATCAGAAAAACTATTTCCTTTTTGTTAGTTAAATATCATAAATAAATGGCCGCTTTCATGTATTCTCAAAAGAACATCTTGACAAAATTAAACACACTTTTAATACATTTCGACTTTGATTTTCAGTTTTTCACTATCAATTGTCCAAGCTTTGGTATTGTCCCTGATTGCTTATCCAAGCTTCGATGTTATTTAGCCGGATTATGAACCAAATAGACTATAGCATAGCACGATCACGAACCAACAAATTCCAAACTTGATAAGTGATAACAATGTGCAACGACTCGATCCACATCGAATTAAACCAAATCGGACCAGATTGAGCATAATTCAATTCCCCTTCTATGTATCCTCTTGATGCGAGGAAGCGAGGAAGAGTGAGCCTAATGGCGTCTTTTGATCATATTACAATCTTAAATTTATTTCTAAATTTCTAAATGTTGGTCTGGTTTTAGGCCAATTCGATTTGGTCCTAGTCTGAATCAAAGTATTGCACAACCTCGACAAATGAACCAAAGGGAGTCAGCCAACTGATCCATGTCAAACTAATGTAGACTATGTTGTAACTGTTTTTGTTAGTAACTTAATACTCTATGAACAAGAACAAGAACTACTAGTGGTTAATCTATTAGACTGTACTCAAAGCACCAACAATCATGGCGTTTTCCCCTTTTTCTGACAAATGATAGTCTGTAAGGAAATGCAGAACCATGATTGTGATCATAGTCTAATACTTCCCAAAATTGATCTCTGCACGTTCCATTGCTAGTCAGGAGTGCAAAAAAGAAAAGGAGCAAACTTCCATTAAGATCATAATCATGATCAGCATCAGCATCAGAAGAAGCCGCAGCAGCAGCTCTACTCTGTTTTGGCGCGCTTCGAGCAGTGGGTTTCCTTCATCCACTCAAGGCATTCATCAGCAGTCCCAGTTGGATGAGCAAGTTGCCATGACAGTATCTTTTGTTGCTGCAATATGAAAATCAAATCCCCCAAAATTAAGAAAAATGGAACAGTCCAATGTGGACTCTGCTGAATCCAAGGAGAAGAGGAGAAAAGAAAGAATGAAATGGTTAGACCTAAGACATACCCATTCCTTGACAAGGGGTCCTCCGGATTTAAGCTGTAGGACGCTCATGATCTCTTTCCCGTTGATCAATGGCTTCATGTCCCATACATTGTCCAAACCTGTTTCGAACAAAGCAAGAGGGTCGATTACTCCCAGCAATGAGATTTAAGACGTGAAGTATTGTGTTTATTTGTTTTGCCTCGAACAATAGAAACTACAAATAAATAAAAAAATTACTTGAAAGCTCAAACAAACACACTACTTTAATCCAACTGTTTAGAATCACTATTCGCCCTAAATCTCAAATCCCTTCTATTAGGACTTACAAAAGGCTGCTTAATTTTTAACAAAAGCTGAAGCAACCAAATCCATCATTTTGCTTTCCATACCTAGTTCAAGGATGGCGGCCTCGACTACCTTGAACAAATCTTTCATCTTGTCAAGCTCGGGTTTACCATTATCCTCCATGGAAGAAGAAGCTAAGTCAGAGGGGTGTAACATTGTAGATAACAGTAGAGCAATTCGCCATAGATCTTTGACCTCTCTTAGTAGGAATCCTGCAACAAGTAATGAATAAGGAGTGAGAGACAAGGCATTTGAGTAAGGTTAGCAGCATGCTCCGTACAGAAATTCACAGTACCTGTTGAAATTCGGAGCTTTGAAGTGGTGGGCACATCAGCAAATTCCATTTCCTGGTCGACCTCAGGGGGCATGGTTTCTTCCTTGGATGTAAATGAAGGAATCAATGTTGTAAATTTATCTATTGACTGATGTACCTTAATCACCTAAAAACAAAGAGACAACCGGTTTCAATGGCAACACGACGCGTACTCGAACCTCAGAACTACGATAGTGGCAGAGCTTTACTAACCAAGTCAGGATCACTGGCTTTCTGCTTAAGAGAGTCTCTAAAAATATAGTTGACAACCGGCATCTGAAATATGTCATAAATTTAAGACCATACCATACCAAAGATGCCAATACACAGATATACATGAAGACGGAAATTCAAGATAAGGGTGAGAGAAAAATACCCTTTTCCCCTTAGCATCCTTATATGTCATATTTCTGTAGGGAAGAAACAGAGCTGAATATAAAGCAAGTCGCCTTTGCTGATCCTAAATTGAAAGTGTCAAATGATCAATAAAAACTTTAAGGGAAATAGATTAATGTAACTGGAAGAACAAATGTAATATCGTAAGGGATGTCCAAGGGATTACAGTGAATGAAGTATATCCAATTGAGTGAATCAGACTCCATGCTGCATCCAAGTACACCATGGACTGCCTGATTGGGAATATAAATTAGACAATACCACTTTTGAGAAAATTCTAATGGTTGAAGAAAGCTGAAGATATGTTATGTTGATTATTCATACGTCTGGCATCCATCAGAGACTTCTGGCTGACGATTAGGTGGGAGACAGAAGACAATTGGATACAATGTCAAATCGGTTATGTATGACATGGCTTTGACAGGTTGATTACCAGAGATCATTAGCTCAATCTGCATACCAATGACACAAAACAGACAATCAAAAACGGGGAATCATTTCATCCCCATAATCATAAAAAGAAGGGGAAAACATTTCATCTCCATTGCTGAATATCATCTTAAGAACTTGAACAGGAGATAGAAACGAGGAGAACATACCTCAGTTCCAACACGCTCTTTGCTAATTTTAGCTGCAAGAGCATTTTTCACTTCCTCACATCTAGCCGCTTCTTTGAGATCTTCATCTATCTTAAACTCAAACCTTGCCCCTATTTACCCAAGTTGTATTATGAAAATTCAGAAACACAACAGTGATGGGCGTGGAAACAGAATCATCTAAATAATCAGCGGCGACTATTTAGGTGTGGTAAAGCTTAGCAGTATCTATACAAATAACACGAAATGACAAAAAATGCACAAGATTTTAGCACGCTAACAAGCACCTCTGACCAGTGCAAAGTAGAAATGCCCCATAAATCAGGACCTTAACAAACGGAAGAGTGACTGAACAATACCAACTTACCAAACCGAATAGCCCGAAGAACACGAAGAGGATCATCCAAAAAGGTCTCCTTTGGAGGTAAAGGGGTCACTATTCTTCCAGATTTTAGATCTGCAATGCCTGCAAAAAATAAAAATATATGTATGGCACAACAGGCTTAAGTTCAAATAAGGAAACAATTGCGGAAGGTGGATTTTCATCTGGAAAGGGACACTGACCTCTGCCTGTAAGGTCTTCGACTGAACTCTTATTAATATTATAGAACAAGCTGGTAATGAACAAAATGCAATTGTTAACACATATATACTCCATGAGCATTCATTCATAAAAATATAAAAAAAGTTGAGGGCGTCTATGGAGCTAATTAATCACCTGTTAATGGTTAAATCTCTTCTATATGCATCCTCTTCAGCAGTTCCAAACTTCTGTAGCCACGCAAAAGATGAATCCAATATTAACACGATAGACATTCAGGCAATCAGTTCATATTCTTCACCTAGCACAGAAACTAACTTGCAAAAGAATCCAAACTCTACATTGGAAAAAGACAAGGAAACCCAGTTGAGACTACACTATCCGATAAACACAGAGATCATGGTACAGTTCAGTAGAATACCATTGTCGGGATGCGACTGTTCTCACTGTAATCTTCACTCCTCAAGTTAACGAAATCAATCCATTGATCAAATAGCCTCATCCTCGCAGTCTCCAAGTGTTTGGACTGGTCAGGATTGCTGCAAAAGATAATGATCACAGTTAAGAACACTCCAAGTCCAAGCAATTAAGGAACCACACACAAGAAACTAAGACTGTAGTCAGTACATGAAGAAGAAAAATTGCATACCGAGCAATGACACCAACTCCTTGTGCTACTTCGTTAACCGATTCCAAATATTCCTTCACCTTATCAACAAAATCACTCCCAGACATATTGTCAATGGCGATATCAATGTCGTAGCACTCTTTCCCCAGTAGCTGCCCACCACAATCACCACACTCGCTTCATCAACAAGAGAATGAACTGAAAGCTGAATAAACGGGGAAATTAGTGAAGGACGAACCGACCTTGTCGCGGACCCAACCGCCGGCGACGCGGAGCTCCGTGCTGAAATTAAAGTGGCGGAGCGTGGCGAGGAGCCTGTCAAATATCTTCCTTTCAACCTCCGTCAGTTCAATTTTGTCCCTCACCGGAACCACCGCCTCCGGTGGCGGAGGAGCGGTCGCCATAGTTGTGCAGGTGCAGCGACAGAGAAGAAGCCGCGAAGTGGTTGCGGCTCTGGTCCCGACTGAACTTTTCGTTGCCGATCGAAGCGCTATCGGGGAAGCAACGGCGGGGTTACAGAAGAAGCTGGCGCTGGAGAATTTTGGGGAGAAGACAAGAAGACGTAAAGGGGAGTGGAGGTTTATCAGGGAGTTCAAATTTGGTCTCATGGCAAGCCAGCATTTTTGGGGCACCGGACCGGAGGGATTCATTTTGCCGATTGTTGTTTTTCTTTATTTCTTTATTTTCATTGAATTTGGTGTCTGGGCCGACTCAAGACTCATGATTTTGAGCTCAGAAGAAGCCCAATGTCGAGACTCGAGGCCCAGAGAAGAGACCAAGTATTGGAGTGGATACCAGTACCACATGTGATGACGAGGGAGCGGGGAGGAACTCATCAGCCTTCTGCTTAGGGTAAGGGTAAGGCATGGCAATCAAACCCATGGTTGTGAGTATTCGATCGTCCCTGATCTAGTCAATGCGGGGAATTTCTGTTTTAACTGGATATGGGTGGAGTATGGTTTCAACCTTCCTCGTAGCGGCGGATTCATGCTATAATAGAGCACTGGGCCCCATTTGAAGAGAATATTAGATATCGTAAACAAAAATATATAATAATTATAGTTATCATTACAATGCCAATTATACAAGAAAATATTTTAATTTAGCAAATCCATCAATAATAGAATCTTCATCCATACCAATTGTATTCTCTCTCAAAGAAAATAGCTAAACAATAAACGAGAATTTCATCGCTCATTTTGTTGTGCAAATCATTTCTCATATATTTCATTGGTGAAAATGTTCTCTCCATAGTAGTTGTTGGTCATTTGAATGGATTAATTGTCAATGTGGTATTTGTAGAGTCAAATAACTCATTAATTGTTCATGCAGTATTTCATTATTATTGCAGTGGTAATTGGATTAAAGTATCTCATTTGGTAGAACCATACAAATGTGATATTTGGCAAAGACAGAGTGCTAAAACAAGTTATTTCGAAATAACACGGGGTATGAGTATTTCAAATAACTCATTACCCAAATAACTCATTTCAGTAAAATGTTATCAACACTCAAATACTTCATCCAAACAACCCCTACACTTTTAGTCAGTTACGTTTTAGACTTTTAGGTTTAGATATGTCCATCTTATCAATTTCTTAGTTACATAAAATCCTATTATCAAATAACACTAAACCGATTGTTGAATAATATTGAACGAATACCTAAAATCAAAAAATTTATAAATACTATAACCCAGAGGAGGGCTGGGGAGGGGCTCGGGTTGGCCCACCCCTGTATCCGCCGCTGCTCCCCGCCCCACCAAGAGAATTTCTTCACATATAAAAAATAGCAAATTGTAACCTATCAAAAGGTTTGTGAATGGATACTGGAGAATGGCCCGTGGTTTTGGTTCAATAATTTACTCTATATGAGGCCTTGGGTGCCTGGTATCAGTATGGAGGATATGGGCAGGAAAGCTCTGCCGATTTGGGTTAATTTGGCAAATGTTCCTTTGGAGTACAATGACTTCCAGGGGCTGAGTAGAATAGCAAGTTGGATTGGGGTGCCGCTGGGAATGGATCATACTACTCGAATGGGGGATAGGCATGATTTTGCAAAGGTATTGGTGGAACTTACAGTTGACAGTGAGTGCCCTGATGATGTTCTCCTGTGGCCAGATGATGATTCATCCATTCGAATTGGGGTCACTTATTGTAACTTGCCTCCAGTCTGCCAGGTTTGTCATCTATTTGGAACCTCTGGATCATGTTCTGAACATCAGGGCAAGAAATGGGTGGCTAAACCAGCTCAACAGGAGCAGGCAGTGAGTACTAATATGGGACAGGATGTTCAAATTGAGGAGGGGACTAAGGAAATAGTTGTTGAAGTGCAAGTTGCTAATGAGAAAGGTAAAGAGGTGGTGGTGTATGATGATGATCTGTAGCTGATGGCCATATTTACTAGCCCAGAAGCGAGGGGAGGTGGTCTGATTGCTCCACAGAATTTAGAAAAGTCATTCCAAGAGGTGGCCACTTCGTCTTCGCCTAAGCTACCCTCTGAGGATGAATTTCAGAGAGTGGTGAATGGAGCTAGACCTCGTGTTTGGCTCTCCCAGGATAGTTCAAAAGGCATTCTAGTCTCAAACTCATCTTTCAGTGCGTTAGGGAAAATTGGTGATAATGAAGAAATTAAAGTCCAAGCTGCTCCACGAAAGAAGGAAATAAAAAAGGATGTGAAGAAGGGTGGGGGGAAACCCCCAACTTCGAAATGATTGTGCTCTTCTGGAATGTCAGGGGGTTTAATAAACCCTCTAAGCAAAGGGACTTGTTGCAAGTCCTGCGTAGGAATAAAGTTGATGTGGTTGCAGTTTTAGAAACTAGAATACAGGCTTCTAAAGCTGAGGAAGTGGTGGAGGAAGTCTTTACTGGATGGGAGAAGTGTTTAAATTGTTTTGACTCAAAGTTGGGCCGGGTCTGGATTTTCTGGGATCCTGCAATTAAACTTCAGGTCCTTAAACCTAGGAAGAATTTTGTTCACTGTGTGGTAGAGGATTTGAATAGAGACAGTTTTTTTCTTACTGCTGTTTACGCTTCTAATGATGAAGTGGAAAGGCAGAACACTTACAAAGAAATCGCCCAGTTAAAAGTGGTTGGTCATCCCTGGATTGTGGGGGGTGATTTTAACACTGTTCGAACTCCACAAGAGACCTATAATAAGCGGTCCTCTACTCATAGCATGAATGATTTTAATAGTTGGATTGGGGAGATGGAGTTGGTAGATTATAGAACCACAGGACCTCAATTCACATGGACTAACATGCAGGCTAATCAACCTATTGCTAGAAGATTAGATCGAGGCCTGGTTAATCTTGAATGGATTGAACATTTCAAGGATTTCACCATGGAAGCACCCCCTATCAAGGATTTTAAGGATTGCATCATTGTGGAATACAAGTCTGTATAGTTGCCCCGATAAAATCCCTACCAAAACCATTCTGATAGTTTGAGTTTTGGGCAGATCATCCCTGTTTCTTGGATATAGTGGCAGAGGCTTGGAGCAGTGATGTATTAGGGAATCCCTTGCAGGTCATACAGGGTAAGTTGTCCATGGTTAAGCAGGCTCTAAAAAAGTTCAACAAGGAAATTTATGGTAACTTGCAGGATAAGGTTAAAGAGGCTGAGGTTGAGTTGGTGAAAGTTCATGCCATGGCTTACTCAGATCCTACCACAGAGCATTTTGAGGCTGTTACACTTGCTAAAAATCAATATGATCATATCTCTCGGGCACATGAAAGTTTTGGTTGGCAGAAATCCAGGGTGTCTTGGTTATCAGTTGGTGACCAGATTTCTCACTTCTTTCATCAGACTGTCAAGATTCACAACTCAAAAAGAGCTATCAGGAAGTTGGTTACAGAGTCTGGAGAGGAACTATTTCAATCTGATCAGATTGTAGAGGAAGTTATCAGTTTTTACAAAAAGCTGCTGGGGGAGGCAAATTTGAAGATAAGCCCTGAGAAGGAAGAGATAGCTCAGCTGATTCGTCATCACATCCCAGATTCTGAATGTGAGAATCTTATTACAGATATCACAACAGAGGAGGTCGGAAGAGTGGTCTTTAGCCTGAATCCGCAAAAGGCTCCAGGCCCAGAAGGCTTCTTTGCTGGCTTCTACAAACGAGCATGGCCAATCATTGGAGAGGACATGACTAGAGGGGTTCTCTACTTCTTTCAAACAGGTAAACTCCCTAGTGGAGTAAATGCTACTGCTGTTTCATTGTTTCCTAAAGTCTTGAATGCTGACACCTTGAGAAATTTTAGACCCATCTCGTGTGTAAATCTATTATACAAAATAATGGCCAAGATTCTTGATTGGAGGATTAGTGAAGTTATGCCTCTGATTATTAGTACTAACCAGACAACATTTGTTAAGGGAGAAGTATCATGGATAATATATTGATGCCTCAGGAGTTGGTAAGTGGTTACAACAGGAATGCATTATCCTCTAGGTGTGCAATAAAAATAGACATTATGAAAGCATTTGACTCAGTTAGTTGGAGTTACCTGTGTTCATATGATGACTGCCATGGGGTTTCCTGACCGGTTCATGAAATGGATAAGGGCTTGCCTGCAAACTGCTCATTATAGTATAAATATCAATGGAGGGCTCAGTAGTTTCTTTAGGGCTAGGAAGGGGGTCCGTCAAGGTGATCCTTTATCACCATACTTGTTTACCATTGCCATGGAGGGCCTCTCTTCCATGTTAATACTGCAAGCCAAACAGGGCGGATTCCCTACCACCCTCAGTGTCGAAGAATTGGGCTCAATCATATGTGTTTTGCTGATGATGTTCTTGTGTTTACCACTGGCTCGACGCAAGCAATTCTTCAAGTAAAGGATGTGTTGCAGCAGTTTTATAAGCTATCAGGGCTCAACTGTAACCCTGCAAAATGTGAAGTCTATTTTGGGGGTGAGTCTGTTAAATACAAAGACAATGCTCTTTCCCTATATGGTTTCAAAGAGGGTGTGTTGCCTGTTAGGTATTTGGGGCTTCCATTAATGACTAGGAAGCTGTCATCAAATGAGGTGGACATTTTAGTGGAAAAGGTCACAAACGGATAAAATCCTGGAGGTCAAGGAAGCTGACCTATGCTGGTAGACTGCAATTAATAAATTCAGTCCTGCTGGGGGTTGTCCAGTATTAGATGCAACTTTTTGTATTCCCTAAAGCAGTATTGAAAAGGATCCAACAGGTTTGCTCTAAGTTTCTTTGGCATGGGGCTGATGCTGGGCGAGCCAAAGTGGCATGGGAATCTGTGGCTTTACCAAAGAAAGAGGGTGGACTCGGGGTCAAAGACCTACTGGCTTGGAACCAGGCATGTACCATTCGTATGCTTTGGTTATTTCTAATGAAAGCGGGTACTTTATGGGTTGCATGGATGTATGAATATAAATGCAAGCAGGGGGATCTTTGGGGTTTGAGAGTGCAATACAGTAGCTCTTGGACATGGAGATGGCTACTCAAATTAAGAGATATAATTTTGCCATGGATCACACAGCAAGGAAATGTCATCTATTGGGATTCACAGGAAATGCTGGTGTACTCTGTTCGCAAGGTATGAGATACTCTCAGAAGAAAGGCACCTGTAGTCACCTGGTATAAGCTTATTTGGGATAGTTGCTGCCCCCCCGAGATACAGTCTGATTGCTTGGTTGATCATGAGGAATGCCATAGTAACTAGAGACAAACTATTGAGATGGGGTAAAATTACTGATGCATCATGTCCTCTGTGTAGGAAGGGAGTTGAGAACCGAGATCATTTGTTTCTCAGCTGCGACTTCTCCCTCAGGCTTGCCGCACAGCTGCAGTTC